GAGCGAGAACTCTGGATGAGTGGGAGGTGTAATCCACCTTACCTCATACCCGCCCCTTCCCTACATAAGACATCTCTGTCCCTATACGTGGAAAATGCTAAGGAGATGCTGGAGGAGTGGTTTTAGTCTGCAACTGGAAATGCCTGAGGCTCCTTAAATTCCGAAGTAGCTATGGGATAAGGGGCACCAGAGAGAGAGCAAGTTAGACTGAGATGCTCAACACTTCACCAATTCCAGTTTAACGCTATCAAAACTATCTTCGTAATCATAACCACCTTAAAAGGTGAGAGAGCGCCATCTAAACTTCTGGGTGGATGTCGACTGCCATCCCTGGGTGGCACTGTGACATCTCTGAGATTATGACCGGGATGGGAAGGAGGAGGTGTGAGATCAGGGGCCACAATGCTTCAATTACAGTGTGTCTCTTTTGGTCCCCAGGCGTGGTCCACTAACTACCACAAGTCCTAAAACGTTCCTGTCCCCTTTCCCTACTTTTTGCAAAAGTCTTTTTGCAAATGTCAAAAATCAAATCTCTGCCCAAAGAGCAGGGAGTTGCTACTGGACTGTAATCATCACTGGCCCCAGCCCACCCGCCTCCTGACCTTTCTATGAAATTGCACAAAAATTCATTCTCAAGAATGCTATGGAATTATGTCATCTCCATTCCTCTATAGAAGCCAATCCAACAGCTCTGTCCTGACATGCTTTCTCCCTGGGCCGAGGAAGCAGCAAAAAATATCAATTGAGCGTGTAAAAATGTGATGACGGTGTGTGCAGTGTAATGTTTCTCGATGTCTTCACCTTCTGTCTCCTCCATGGTGGGAGCCTCCCTCTCTTTCCCCAAGTCCCACACACACCCCTCCCCTACCCCCAAGTCCAGGTGCTCCCATCTGCTGGGCTTCCACCACTCACTTCCCATAGACACTCTCATCACTGTAGGCCACATACAGAAAATAGTCTTCCTCGTGGTTGTCCTAGAGGAAGAGATAAGACAACAGTTTAGAAAACATTCACACTCATCATCTCTAGGATTCTGGGCTGCACACAACCTTATAGGATAGGTCTGGAAGGTATCATCCACCCCCATTAAAAAGAGGAACAAAGAATAAACAGAAATGGTTGGAATTAAACTCCGAACTCTGATTCACAATCAAAAAACCTTCATGAAGAACATAGTACCCACAGGTCTTAGGGATACAAAGATGACTAAAGCACAGTCTGTGTGCCCTTAAAAAGCTCATGCTAGCAAGGGGAACATAGATCCCACAAGACATGTACACTGCAATATATACTAATAGGGCATATATGCTATGGAATAAAAGATTGGAGTTCACTAGAAGTTTACGTAATTCACTACTGGGACACAGGAGAAGGCAGTATCTTATGTGAAATAGTTTACGAAATAATACAGTTATGATCTTAGGCTATATTTGCAGCATGATAAAGTCCTTTAGTATAGTTTTCTCATATTAGATTCTGACACTTTACCAATTAAACTAAATCACATAAATTATTCTCCCTGGGTTTAAGACAAGTGAATCCATTTAAAAACTCTGCCCTAATATTAAAGTTCATTTTATCTGATTTACTGTGGCCAGATAACAGGGAGTCTCCTTGACAGTCTTTGCTTTAAGAAGCAAAGCTGCCCATGTTTAGATCTAAGTGGTTGTCTGAAGCCAAAACTTTAGAGTTTATAGAGAGTGCTAAGTGTGAAGAGAAACCTTCAGTTTGAGGAGGTTGGCCTCAGAGTTAAAAAGGGGCTGGCTTCACTATTATTTGCTTTCTCAGTTTGTTGTTAGATGAGAATAAAATAATGAACTGGGATATGAATGCATAGTTCACTACCAATTATATGTCACCAACAAGAATAACAGCAACTGCAAATGGGTAAATGCTTTGGCATTTTTGCTTTTAGGAACCATTTTCTGCTGTTTCAATAAAAACCATCCAGCATTAAAACACTATAGTCAGGCGAGACTGAGAAGAGATTTCAAAAGGATTAGATCTAGCAGAGTGCTCAATCCCTAAAGAACAAGCGGTCTCTAATCTCCCGGAGCCTTGTGCTACCATGTGTAAGAGGATCCTGACAAGTAACACCCTCTGCCCCACTTCTCAGGTGTGTGATCAACATACACGGAACAAAAGCGAGAGGATGCCAGGCTGCACTGGACGGCGTCCAGCACTTGCGGCCAGAACCATTACCTCATACAGCTGGCCCATGGTAGCACTAGTGGGGGGGATAGTGTTGTTGACAAAGAAGAATAAGGCGTCCTCAGGTCTCAGGTGGATCCTCTTCCGGATTAAGAAGTAGAACTGGCCAACTGGATGAAGGAAGAAGGAAAAGAAAGTCAAGAAGGAAGAAAACAAGGGGTTAGAAGGGTAAGTCCCAGAAAAAA